GTATTTATATCATTCTAAGCATGGATTACTTAGTATGCGGATCGAAATGATCTTTCTGTGATTGGTTGAATGTGTAGACATAGTAAATAATTCATCAAAGATCATATGGAAATAAGATCGGGTGTCAGGAAGGGTTTTTGCTATTGGTGGATTGTGATCCTTATTGTGCAGTGACCGAAGTATAAATTTTTTGGCGCTTGATTATTTCGACATCTTGACTTTCGTAAAGCAAACCGAAAATCTATCGTAAAAAATGTCTGGTCGTGGTAAAGGTAAAGCAAAGGGCACCAAGTCCAAAACTCGATCATCCCGTGCAGGGCTTCAGTTCCCAGTCGGTCGTATCCATCGTCTTCTCCGCAAGGGCAACTATGCTCAACGTGTTGGTGCTGGTGCTCCAGTCTACATGGCTGCAGTTCTCGAGTATCTGAGCGCTGAGATCCTCGAGTTGGCCGGTAACGCTGCCCGCGACAACAAGAAATCCAGAATCATCCCCCGTCACTTGCAGTTGGCAGTCAGAAACGACGAGGAGTTGAACAAGCTTCTTGGTGGAGTCACCATTGCTCAAGGTGGTGTTCTTCCCAACATCCAAGCTGTTCTTCTTCCCAAGAAGGCCGAAAAGAAAAGCTCGTAAACAGTTCTAAACTGTTTGCAAAACACAAAACAACGGCTCTTTTAGGAGCCACGACATGATAACAAAGATCATGATTTTATGCTAAATGAAAAACCCAAAATACAGTTATTAAAACAATTATTTTTTTTATTTTTTCCCTTTAAATAACCACCCCAGCTTCGATTTCTCTACTAATCAATCGAAAACCATAAAGAGCTAAGCAGTCTACGTCGATTGCTAGAGGTTGTTATTAGTAAGAAGGAGTATTCATCGAGAATGGAAGTTATCCAAATAGGTTTTTTTTTWAAATAAAACTTTTGTCCTGATAATTTGTTTGTAACGAAGTTAGGAAAGAAGTATCACCATCTAAAGACTCCAAAGACCAAACTGGCTAAACAATGGTTTCAATCTTTACGTAAACATTGTTAGTAAAAAGAAGGATCCATTGATGATCCATTCATATGATGATAAAAAAGGTAAATTATACACCGTGAAAATATGAAAAGACTTACTGACGTTTCGGACGCTAGTCCTTCGTCGTAGTAAAAAAACGCCACGAAGGACTAGCGTCCGAAACGTCAGTAAGTTTTTTCATCTTTTCACGGTGTATAATTTACCTTTTTTATCATTACTGTTTCATTAGAAACACCGACGCAGCTCTAAACGGCCTCAAATCGCGCTGAAACGTCGTCAGAAGACTGAACAAAGTAAAAGCAACGACTGCAGCAAGTTTTGAGGCAAATTGTTGAGTGAAACATTTYATTKTMRTRACTTTATCATAACTCCCATACATTCCCTTATAAACCATACACAGGAACCTTGTTTGGGCTGCCTGTGGTGTAAGTTACTATTTTAGCTATTTGAAACTACGAGTAAACAGCTACTGAGATCAGGGGGAGAAACGATGATACAAATGAATGTCTATTCACTCATTCTCTGGTAAAACAACCCCCCCGGATTAGCATGACCATTACTTGGCGCGCTTTTACCGTGATTTTAGGTGACGTCAACTAAATAGTTATCTAAGTTAGATAAATTTATCTAACTATTCAACAGTTTGACTGAATGCACTCTAAGTGATATTCTTTATTAAGCCTGTTAACGGTGAAAAAACTATCGCGAAATAATTTTCGGTGTAAGAGAAAGCCTAGAGGTCGTTTTAGGGTATCTACAAAGTGTGGAATGTATCTCTTTCGAGAGGAAAGTGACTTTCTCGACGTAAAGCTCATCGACCACACATAGAAATAAGAACATGCGTAAATAGGTAAATTACGAGCCTTAGATGAAACGACTGAAGAAGAGTGTCATGCAAGCCTTTCACAACTTCAAGTCGCATGGAAATACTAAGTTTGAATGCAATGTTTTAATCAAGAGATGTAGTAAATAAGATATAAATATGGATATGAACAGCTCAATGTGAGTATCATTTATTATTAAGGGGATTTTTTTTTGGTAATCGCGTCTTGTCGAGAACTGGTGCTTTCGCATCGAATACATGGTATTGAAGATATCATTTCTGGTAATCATACCATATTCATTTAAGCATAATAGAGGCATAGACTTTATTAATATGTGGTGGCTCCTAAAAGAGCCGTTGTTTGTGAATGAGATGAGAAACTCATCTAACCACCAAATCCGTACAGGGTACGTCCTTGGCGTTTCAAAGCGTAGACCACGTCCATGGCTGTGACGGTCTTTCTCTTGGCGTGCTCGGTGTAGGTGACAGCATCACGGATGACATTTTCAAGGAAAACCTTGAGGACTCCACGGGTCTCTTCGTAGATCAGACCAGAGATTCTCTTGACTCCACCACGACGAGCAAGACGACGGATGGCGGGCTTGGTGATACCCTGGATGTTGTCCCGAAGGATCTTACGATGACGCTTGGCGCCTCCTTTTCCAAGACCTTTTCCTCCTTTACCGCGACCAGACATGTTGAATTTTGGATTTCAAATTGATGAATAACTTCCAACCGAATTCTCTGAAATATATACGGCTAATGCGTACGCTTAAGAAAACAGTCAAAATTGATTAAGCCCTAGGTCAAAGTCCAGCATCCGTTCAGCAACGAAACTAATTGTACGTTGAAACAATCACAACGAATTATGCGGCAGTTTGATCCGCATACATTCAAAAAAAATTCGCGCCAAAATTTTGTGGTAGATTTTTGTAGCCGTCTCGTTTGGCTTTCATTTGAAGAACGGTCATACAACTTTTTCGTCTTAAAATAAAAGTTATTGCGAGCAAGAAGTCAATGAATTATAAGTTTTTAGCAGGGTATTCGAGCTTTGAATGTTATGAAGCTTTGAGGATCAAGCAGGGTAAGACGAACAGACTTTCCAAGGACCAATCAGATTTCGTTGTTTTCGACCAATCAGATTCCAGGCGCGATGATATAAAAATCCAAATTTCTTTTACGAGATATCTTGAATTTTCAAAGGAATCTACAAGAAACATGGCTCGTACTAAGCAAACCGCACGAAAATCTACCGGAGGAAAAGCTCCCCGAAAACAGCTCGCCACCAAAGCAGCACGTAAGAGTGCCCCAGCAACTGGTGGAGTCAAGAAGCCTCATCGTTACAGGCCCGGTACCGTCGCTCTTCGTGAGATCCGTCGTTACCAGAAATCAACCGAGCTGTTGATCCGCAAGCTGCCCTTCCAGCGTCTTGTCCGTGAGATCGCTCAGGACTTCAAGACAGATCTCCGATTCCAGAGCTCAGCTGTGATGGCCCTTCAGGAGGCTAGTGAAGCTTACTTGGTTGGTCTGTTTGAAGACACCAACTTGTGCGCCATTCACGCCAAGAGAGTCACCATCATGCCCAAGGACATTCAGCTTGCCCGCCGAATCCGTGGAGAGAGAGCATAAGTTCTCAACTCATTTACAAAACAACGGCTCTTTTAAGAGCCACCACATCATTCAAAATCAAAGATCTATATGCCTCTATTGAATATTGACTAATTAATGCTATATGTGTTAAATTCTGTATGTATTRAATTCCGGAGATGGCATTCAATAATCAGATCAGGTTTTATGAAGGGAGGAAAACCAGAGAAAAACCCTCAAATCAATGGAGAGAAGTGATAAAGATTTTTTTTCAAGGGGGAGTAGCACGACAATCTTCCGTAATTTAATTTGGCTGAAACTTCACTGGAACAATCTTTAAGGGTATAATAATCACTGGTTAAAGTTTTTTCCTAGTAACTTTAACCAGTGATTATTAGACCTTTAAGGGTTATTCCATTAAAGTTTAAGCTAAATTAATATTCGGATGATTTTCATGCTAGTCCCAAATCAATGGAGAGAAGTAACAAACTCTAAGATTTTCTTTCAATAACAGTTCCCGCCATTTTTCCTTACCTTCCTGGTCTTCCAGCTTCACTCCTAGGTTAGGTAGACTCTCATCCCTCAGGTTATCACAGGCTTTTAGTATCCTTGGAACTGGATTCAAAAACAAAACAACAATAAATTAGAATGAACGCAATTACAATTAAAACTTCTGTCGAATTTATGGGCTCCAGAGGTTGTCCGTTATATTTCGTTTTCGTTCTGTGAAGAGCGAGCGACTTCCCTTCGAAACCAGAAAACAAAACCAAATGCCAGAGCGATAATAAATAACCTCTGGACAACAGGGTAAAGCCAGGATGGCGTTTGAAAATGATTCCTATAGGTTTCTCAGATATTAAGGATAGAGGTTTACGATGTAATGCAATTTTTTGTGATCGCACGTAAACTCTATCAAAGATAAGATTCGATAAGATTCTTTAAGATACAGCTATTTCAAAAAGGTTGAATACTGAATACTGAATACGTACAGAATATTGCATTTCAAGGCAAAAGGGTTTGAAATAGCTGTATAAAATTTTACAATGAAATAAATGGTTTGTTTGTAAAATCTAGAAGGTTCAAAAATGAATACATTCTCTGGATTAAGGATAATCTTCACGAAATTTTATGATTTTACTAATATTTATCGAAAATTTGAGTACAAACTATTTTTTGATAAAACAAAATACAGTCAATGTCATTAACGTTGTTCACCGAACATTTTACACATTTAGACTAAAAGAAATATCAGRCGTTTCATTATGTATTCTTTGCCTCGTGTGCGTCAGCCTGAACTTTAAATGTAAAATTCAACTCGTGAATCGAAAATCCAGAATGCCTGAACATTTAGTGAGGATTTAAGATGGAGAATGGTATTTCAGCGTTTGTTTTATGCCAGGATGTTCGAGGAAACACGTGATATTTCTTTTAGTCTAAATGTGTAAAAGTGTAAATGTGTAAATGTCTTTTTTCGGTGGACAACGTTAATGACATTGATTGTATATTTTTTGATCGATAGGGTGACGTCAGAGTGAAACATTTCTTGTAGTAGGACCTAAATTAAGTGGCCAACCTCAGGACATTATAAAGTGATAGCATACCTTTCTCTTCTCTGGCTATTGCTCTGATTTCTTCTCTGAAGTCAGCCAGCAGTTGAACATAAGGAAGGGCAATTTCTTCATGCTGTAATGGAATTATAAAAATCAACCAGTTATGGTGTGATGTGGTACTCAACATATGGAATTATTCACCCCCTACTCCAAAGTGAACTTACATTTCCAGTCGCTGATTGCCCTGATACAGAAAAGCCAATTTCTTGTTCGCCTTCATTAGCACCAAATATCTAAAACAACAATATAGGTTAAGGGATTATATAATAATAATGATAATGATAACAATAATTATAATAAAACAAAAATAATAATAACAGTAATAATAAGTATATGTAATAGGGCTCCATGCTGTCCAATTAAGAAATAATTGGACGAGGAAAATTCCGAGGACTGACAAAATTGGATGAGGCCGTAGGCCGAGTTCAATTTGGCAGAGGAATTTTTCGAGTCTAATCATTTCTTGATTGGGGAGCATGAAATCCCATTACCTATTAATTATATAGCTGCCTAATTAATCCCATATCAACAAGACCTGTCCAATTAAGGAAATAATTGGACAGTTACCTATACGGGATTAATGAGAAGCTGTATAATTATATTTGTAATATTCTTATTATGCTGTGCAATAAAGGAATAATGATATCAATAATAAAAAAATATGTAGAGGATATTACATGGGCGCGYGGAGATACGAAATTTATCTTCGAGTGTTGAAAAGATCTCTCATGAGTAAGCGCAGCGAACGAGTGAGAGATTTTCAACACAAGAAGATAAATTTTGTATCTCCAAGCCTCCATGTAATATTCTGTTTATTATATGATTACCCATAAATTCACCTTAATAAGCTTTTTATTATTATAAGTTTTTATTTGCAAACTAATAGCTTAAATAAACAGATTGAATGATATTTTCACATGTGGAAATAACATGTTATCAGTTTTTCGAAAAGGAGAAATATAGGTATTTTAAAATATTTAAAAGAATAAAAACTTTTTATAATAATAAAAATCTTATTAAGTTGATTTTATCGATAAATATATAATAAACAGAATATTACATGGGTGCTTGGAGATATGAAATTTATCTTCTCGTGTCGAAAATCTCTTACTCGTTCGTTGCGCTCACTCGTGAGAGATCTTTTTAACACTCAAAGATAAATTTTGTATCTCCACGAGCCCATGTAATATCCTCTATATAATAATAATAATAATAATGATAATAATAATACAATTTGAAATGACAATAAAATAGATTGTGAAAGTCACTGGGGTTTCAGTTTGCTATCAAATGGGAGTAGAGTTTGTTGAGTGTCTCCCTTCATTTAAATGGAGCATCAAAGTATCAAGGGAAGTAATACACTCGCCTATAACCCAGGGGTCTCGATGTGATTCCTGGGTCTTTGCAGAGTTTGACAAAATTAACCTTTGTGTGACAGCATGTGCTATACACCTTTCTCATAAATGGCCACCAAACGCAGTTGGGACTAGCGACAATTACATGGAAGCGATTCAGGAAACAAAGTCTACTCAGTATGACCTTTTATGTCAAAGTCATTCACCCTTACTTCAAGAGATGCTTAAGAGGACTCATATTGTTGAGATAAATGACTTTGACATAAAAGATCATATTGTTTTTATTGATCAATTGTTCCTAGTCCCAACTGCGTTTGGCAGCCATTTATGAGAAAGGTCTATTAAATGGGAAAACACTAGTTGCTCTCTTACTCGGAGCATGTTGGTCAGATATTTAGCAATTCCTTTCAGTAAATCATGATTTGGTGATTCATTCAATTGCTTCTTGTTGCCAATGTAGATGTTGGACAGTTTGACTAAGTCTTGCATTTGACGCAGAGCTCCAGGAGTGTCAATCGAATCTGTAAAAATCATATTAAATAAATAATTATACATCCAGAAAAAGAACGAAATAAAATACAAATACATCCCCCATGGAATAGGATTGGAATTTCTCAGAGGTGGGAATGGTCTGAGGAGGGTATATTGTGTAGTTCCAGAAAATATCCATACCTCCACCATGGAGGAGGATTGGTACTAACAAGGGGTGGGAATGGTCTGAGGAGGGTATATTGCATAGTTCAAGAAAATATCCACTTCTCCTCATGTAGTGGTTGAAACCTACTAAGGGGATAGTAGGGCAGGGCAGTTCCAGAAAATATCCATACCTCCACCATGGAGGATGATACTACCAAGGGGTGGGAATGGTCTGAGGAGGGTATATTGCGT